ATATTTCATTGGTAAGTTGAATCGTCATTGAATTGAATAATTAATTAAAAAAAAAAATTAATCGTCTTTTCTTCAGTTTTGATACATTTTGAACATTTTATAATACAGAAACACCTGCTACTGCTGCCGAAAAAATTTCTTTCACCAATACGGCTGTTCATGAAATCGATCCTGCGGAAATAAAAATTACATGGAACCAATACAATTTAACAAGCAATTTAAATGCCGGTGTTCAAATATCGTTATGGGGTTACAGAGAAACAAAGACTACTCCCGAATTAAAATTCATTACTGATCTTGAGGTGTTTATTTTTACATTTTACGATATTTTTGAATAAATTTTGAAAAGTCTTGAATCTTTAATTGAAATTTCAGATATCGCATACTAATACAGGAAGTTATACAATTAGACCAGCAAATTATCGTGATATGTACAATCCTGATGTACAGGATATCGTGTTCGGATTTATAAAGATTAATTTAACAGATCCGGCTCAATATTCTGGAATTAATCTTTCGCCGTAAGTAAAAAATGACAAGTCTGACAAAAACATTTGTTAAAACTCAATCGATCCAATTCTTTCAGTGTTTTATGGAGTAAACCGATTCCACTAGCTTGGTACTTTGGTCCACAATGGGAAAGATTATATGGGTCTCGTTGGTCACAAAGAATGTGCGATAGATGGATTATGAATGACAGATACTTGAAAAATTTTGCCGCTGAAATTACGTTATGTCCTTGCACTCTGGAACATGCTTTGTATGATAAAGGACGATTTATGCCAGACTTCGACTGCGATAAGGATTCAAATCCGGATTGCTATTACAATCATCATGCGACTCATTGCGTGAGGACTGGTGCGCCAAAGTGAGTAACATCGACACTTGTTATTGAATTTTCAAAATTCTTATCGGGGTAATATGAAAAAAATGTTATAAAATTTTATTAAATATGATCAATCATACAAAAATTTATAGTTAATGTAAAATGTTAAAATTAGTATATTTTATTTTTAGTCTGTATGGTTCGGAACAACAATGTTGCTACGACAAAAATGGTTTTTTGATGCTCACATACGATCAGCAATGGGGCTCGCGACCACGTCGTTCGCATAATTTAGGCTATTTCCCATGGAATGAAGCTAATAAAGTACCAACTCTCTCGCAATGGTATCACGACATGGTTCCTATGTACTTGTGTTGTCTGTGGCAAGAGGAACAGGCAGTCGGATGTGAAACGTTCAGATTTGAGAGACGTCCTTCGCAGGACTGCATCGCTTATCAGTCTCCGGCCGTTGCAACGGTATTTGGTGATCCACACGTTATTACGTTTGATGGCTTGGAATACACGTTTAATGGAATGGGAGAATTCGTATTACTACGAGTAGATCATTTGAGAGACAAGCTCGATGTTCAGGCTAGATTCGAGCAAGTTGACAGAAATTTTTATGGACCTGTCAATGCCACTAAATTGACATCGATTGCAGGTAATTATTTTATTATTCAAATGACAGACATAATTTTGATAAATTATTATTTATATAATGGAATTCTTTTTCTAAACTTAATAGCAAACATTATTTACTTGGGCATGCAATTTAACATTACTTTTTTCCATGTTTACACGAGTGAGGGGAAATAATTCCGCTATTATTGAGGTACGATTACGACAAAAACATTCGCAATGGAGATACCGCTTAGACGTTTTCGCGGATAAACAACGCGTTTATTTTGACAGACCGTCCTTAAAGTTTCAACATTTTCCCGGTGTAGTTGTTTATACTCCAACATACATTTTAAATCAAAGCGAAGTTATAATTATGATGGATACCGGTGCTGGTGTCGAAGTTATAGAGAATGAAGGCTTCATGTCAGCTAGAGTTTATCTTCCCTGGTCATATATGGTAATTGAAATTTAAAATTTTTATTAGCTTTTATTTTTTACTAGCATTTTGGATATTGGATATTAAAATACAATGAATGGATTATAGAATAAAACCAGAGGATTGTTCGGAAATTGGAGTCACGATATTACCGATGATTTAACCAACCCAGATGGTCAAATGGCATCCGTCGGCAATTTAAACAACTTTGAAGACATTCATAAGAATTTCGCGATGAATTGGCTATTGGAGGACAAGGAAGTGGAAAGTAAAGGGGCTGCTTTATTCACAAGGGAGTTTGGTAGAACTTCGACCTTTTTTGCTAATCGAAGGTTTATACCGGAATTTCGTCGAACGCCAGAAGAAATAATACCACCCAATAGGTGAGTCGCGAATTAAGAAAACATTTATTGTAAGATAAATAATAAATTTCAATATTTTCTCAGAACGGAAGATCGAATACGAGCTAACGCTTTGTGTGGAGACTCGTATCAATGCAAGTACGATTACGCGATGACCCTTAATCGGGATTTTGCTCATTTCACAAGAAATTATTACGATACTTACACGCAAATAAAGGCAATAAACGATAAGAGAAGTAAGTAAAAAAGTAAGAAAATTATATTCTGATAAATTTGTTTAAAGATCTTTACAACAGTTTTATTCTTTAGCTATATCTTGTGGTATATTGGAAACACCGCGTTTCGGTCGAAAAACCAATTTTCTCTTTATACCCGGTGCCAAAGTAAGCTTCGAGTGTAACCAAGATTTTATACTCGTTGGAGATCAACGTCGAGAATGTACACCAGAGGGACGATGGAACGTTCCGGAGTATGGATACACTGAATGCCTTCGTAAGTATTTTACTTTTGATCAATTTCTTTTTTATATTTTTGATGAATCTCTAATATTCCAAATCCATTTGAAATTTAAAGAAAGTAGACGTTCAAGAAGTTTCATTATGGATATAATACTGTTGCTTTGCGATAAAATAATTATCACGTTAATATAAATTTGTTAATATTCAAATGAAATACGTAGGTCAAGTCGAATATGCTCAACGTACCGCATGGACAACCTTCGGCATTGTAGCGGCTATGTTAATCCCTGCTACATTATGTATCGTTCTTGCTTTTGTTTATATGAGAAAAAATCGATCTAATGGAAGTTCTACTAAATCTTGGCGTTATTCCGAACGCAGCTCGGGTATAGATAACGATTCTATGTTGATGAAACAAACAATCCCTTTAAAGATGGACGATAGAGCAATTTCACCTGTTAGCGATAGTAGTCTCAGTTCGTTAGGTGGTACAAAGAAACGACGTTCTTATGACAGAGTTTATCGTACGAATGAACCTTTACCAGACAGACCTAACATCGATTTTGAAGACAAAGATTGGGATCTCAAAGAACCTGTTTCACCAACCGAATCTGACTCGACCGTAGATTCCATTCAAAAGACCGGAAGTCTTACGAGAGAAAGCGATGTGTGAAATTTTCTAAATCATTCATATCCATTAAAGTAGAGAGTAAATTGACAAGAATGAAAAAAAATAATCAATATTTATATTCATGAAATATTTCGTTGTAAGAACTGAAAGTAACATTCGCGTTTAATATTTCAAATATTCATTTCATGATATTTTCTTTGCTCATCTTGTTTCCATAGCTCTTCGAGATTATAATCAATTTCATCGTGTTGCTAGATCTATATATCTATATATATCATAACATCTTATTTCTTATTTTACATTAGAAATAATTAAAAAAGTAATAATTTTGTATGTGCTGTGGAATAGAAATGCAAAAGGTATACTGTACTACAAAATTTAATCACGCGTTATATGATTACAATTTACATGATTTAACAATAAAATGGCAAGCGTCAAATATTTTATTATTTAACTGAGCAATTGTAAAAAAAAAGAAAAAAAAACGGTGTAAGCTCTTCTAGACGTTGTATCAAATATATCTCAATAAATTTTTTATAGACCTTTATACAATCAGGAAATTTCTATTCCACATGCATGTACAGATTATCGATATAGAACAGTACGTTAAAGTTATTCACAAACAATTTTAAGTGGAATGGAAGTTTCCACCAAAGCCATTGTAAATTTTCTTTTATCCTCAATCCTGTTATTTCTTTTTAACTTTATTATTTCAGATTTTTTCATCAAATTTATCTTCTATTTGAAATTGATCGGTCACATAAAGTAATACGAATTACAATTGACTTTTTCTTTTCTTTCGTTTTTAATCACATAGGTCAACAGGAATACAGTTCTCGACAAGCTGGTATTACAACTGGTATAGTACTTGCTAGTATAGTTCCCATTATACTCATAATAGTTTGCGTCGCATCAAGAGCTCTTAAACAACGCCGGGAAGAGCGAGAACAAGATGAATCACTTTCAAGGTACTTAATATATCTTTTAAATCTATGTAATCCAACTGTAAAAAGTTATCGTCATATTACGTTAACGGATTTTTCAGAGCACGTAATTTAGAACTTCAACGGCTCAGAAAGATTGAAGAAGACGATGATTCGAGTACATATGCGGGCAAAGCTACTGAAATTAATTAAAATGAATAATTTTCAATATCTTTTATCATTGCATCAAATCAACACATTTTTCATATCATTCACATAATCATTCTTAACAATAATTCATTCAATTTATAGCTAATTAAAATATTAATATGACAGATCTAATATTCGCACGATAACATTTTAAATGAAATAAGCGCGCGTTATCACTTTTCATATTGCAATTATAGTAATACAATTTTAACTTATAATTTTTTTTCGTAAAAGACGTATACATTTTGGAAATTTTAAAAATCATAATAACATGATTTAATAATAACCACCCATCATAATATTCTTTTTTACTTGTTTGTTTTTTTAAATGCAACAGATCTATGAGTGTAGAAAATTAGATATAAATATACATAAGGTTTTTAATTTATAATCAAAATGTGTAATATTATAAATGATATGACAATATTTTAGATCATAAGTTGCTGTTAATAAATAAAATGTTTAAACAATAAGAAATATATGAAAAAAAAGAAAATCATGTTTTTACATATCATTTTGGAAATAGTGTCATCGTTGTTTTGTCTTTATCAGTAAAGTAATAATTTACACCTCCTAGCGGCAGTATAATGTAACACAGATGAAAGTAGAATTATCGACTGAGTTAGTAGTTGCGTTCAAACGTATCTTAAATGTGGTGCCCGATCTACCATTCCGGTAGTCAGTGATTAAACTATTTACGTCGGGCTTCCTGCTCTCTCTCACTCTCGAGCTGTTTAGGATGCACGTTATTTCACGGTTGTTCATTGTTACGAGTAATTACGATAATTTATTTCATTTGTGACGCACATTGTTCATACTAGCCGTGTTACAGTTGTGTAAAATATAAATGTGACGCTTGTGGTGGCCAGTAACGAATTATGAATGTTATTATAATATTTTACGTGCAAACAATTTTCGAATAAAACGTTGTTACTTTTATTACAAAAATTAATTTAATTTATGAGATAATTTGGATGACAACGAATTACTGATTTATCGTAATAAAGACAGGTATGTACAAAATTATATCATTATTAATAATTAGTGCCATTTCAACTTTGTATTGTTAAAATTGTTATTGTTTGTCTCGCGCATGTCGAACAGTGTCATACAGTTTGCTGTCAAAGCTATACATCCCGCCGAGCTTTGTATGAACTAGTCAGTACTATATATAGATCAAACAAATGTTTTACGAACATGTGTTAGCCGACAAATATAAAATTGGTATCATTGATGCATATTTATATATTTATACATATATACAAATTTTAGTTACATTTATATTTAATCCTCTATTTCAATATATTATTATTTTTATTTATATTTATTTATACGAAGTTTTTATAAATTTTACCTATTGATGTATTATAAGAAAAGGAAGTAATTTTTTATGGGTGTGTTAAAATATGACTTTTTATATATTAGTCAGATTGTATAACTAATTCATTAGATTTTTCAATATAAATTACTAATTTTTTTCCAATTGTTTATGAAAAATTGTTTTTTTTTCTTCTACAGATAATCAAATTCTTCTAACATTAAATTACTCAGCACCATAGGACGTATTGTTAAATATGTTTGGCATACTACAATGGTTCGACCATGGTTAGGATGTTTATTTAGCGTTCTAATAACATTAGTATTTTTCTACTTATATTTGTTTCTTAATGGTAATACATATCACGATTTCTTACTTATTATTATATTACATTTACATCTTAGGATACACATATGGGTACTTTATTATAATTTTACAGTTCCTTCTATGGAGACGGGCACTCCAGAAAAGCCAGAAAATATTCCATCAATTACGATTGATGTTTTAAAGAATAATTTACAAAAATTATCCGCGAACAAGCAATTATCAAATAATCGGTCAGAGGTAAATTCGTTCAAAATGAAACCCATTGCACTCGAAAAGTATTGACGGAAATAAGATTTGCAATTAGTAATGATCAATTCGAAATCATTTCACATGAAACATGAAATTTTTACTTAATATTTACCGTATTTTTTAGTTAATCATTCACATAATTTATCATTGTACGTATAACAGCACTAAAAGTTCGATTAGATTTCAAAATTGGAAATAATTCATAGCGAGTGCGAAGGGTCATAGAAATAAAAAAAATTGACAACAAATTTGAGAAGTATGAATTAAATGTAGTTCCTTTCAAGGTCAAGTGTGAGCTAGTACAAATTGCCATGGTATGTGCCGGATATAATTCAACCTTTTCATTGGTAACAGTAGTAAAGTCGATTTTATATCATCGTACGAAACCACTGCACTTCCACTTGATCGTAGACGAAATAGCAAAAAGAACTCTGATAACATTATTTAAAACATGGGACTTACCGAGTGGTCAGTAAACGTTTATTATTGCAAAAAAAAAACAACAGAATTTTAATATGACTTAAGGTTAAGGCTGTACTCATGATTAGATCGTTTATGCGTTTCATGTATTTTGTGCATCTATATATAATTTTTGTATTTGATTGAAATCAAAAATAAAAATGAGATATTAAAAGATTGAAAATTGACGAAGAGGAAGAATAATTTCTAAAATGATCTACTCGATTATAGTCTGAGCCATGAATAGCGACCTTAACGATCATAAAAGCAGTGAACTTATTAAATGAAAATCTAATAGCGATTTACTTAACGATTGCAGTCCAAGTATCATATTATCGTGCCGAAAAATGGGTGCCGAAGGTATCATGGATACCGAACAGACATTATTCCGGAGTTTACGGCCTATTAAAATTAATATTACCTGAGGCTATGGGTGAAAGGAAGATACTCGTTCTAGATACTGACGTGACCATTTTAAACGATGTTACTATCCTTTGGAAAATGTTCGAGAAATTTAATCCTAATCAAACGTTAGGCTTAGTAGAAAATCAAAGTCGGTGGTATCTAAAGTCCTTTTTGTATGGTCAACAACCTTGGCCAGCGTTAGGTAAAGGCTTCAATACTGGCGTCATGCTGATGCACTTACACCGATTGCGCGTTAGTAAGTTTAGAGACTTGTGGGTGACCACCACGAAGAGGGTCTTGGGTTCTATACAGGAGACCACTTTGGCTGATCAAGATATAATAAATGCTGTTATTAAAGAACATCCGGATATTGTAGCTAGGATAGATTGTACCTGGAATGTTCAACTAAGTGATCATGCTACTAGTGAATCTTGCTATCAAAAAGGAAATCGTTTGAATGTACGTTGCTGCGATATTTATTCCAATGATGATAATATAACTTCATCGATCTCTGTCTTTTCAGATAATTCATTGGAATTCACCTCGGAAACAGGATGTAAATAACAAGTACGCAGATGAATTCCTTAAATGGCATAGAATGTTTTTAGAGATGGATGGGAATCTTTTACGAAAACGTTTATTCGGTTGTGATAATCGTAAAAATGTTTTAATAGTTAGTTGTTTTTATATTGTTTAGGAAAGTTTAACATAAGTTAAAATTCAATGAAAATTATATAGTATCATTCTTACGATTAATTATTTTTTAGTATGATGAATCAGATTCTTGTCGAGAATTTACCAAAGGTGCTAGGATGATGTACAGAACACATTATTTTATTCTTGAATATGAATATAATATATTTATGCCTACCGATGTTGTATTAGCCACTCAATGCAGTATAGAACGAGTGCCTCTTTTAGAAGAACTTTCGAAACATTGGCCGGGAACTATAAGTGTAGCACTTTATCTTACCGATGCCGAAGTTCAAAATTTTTTGGGATATATACGAGGATCATCGGAATTGCGAAAAAGGAAAAATATTGCTTATCACGTTGTCTATAAAGAAGGGGTATAGATATTATTATAATAATATTTATTTACTTTTTATATATAATTGTATTTAACTGTCGATCCATTTCTTTCTTATTATTTCAATAATTAATAATCAGTGCTAAAAAAGAAATCATGTTAAATATGTATTCATATTTAGGAACTTTATCCAATTAATTATTTAAGAAACATAGCTATGTCATATGTATCAACGCCTTATATATTCCAACTTGATGTTGATTTCTTACCACAATACGGCCTATATGAAAATATTATGAAGCATATCAAGGAATTGACCATACAAAAACGAATACATAATGTAGCCTTAATCGTACCGGCTTTTGAAACGGAACGATATAGGTGATTTTTACGTTTAATTAATATCAACCTGTGAAACTTAATAAGCTAACACTTTTATTTACGTTTTAGGTTTAAGTTTCCTGTTGATAAAGAAGAGCTTCTAAAATTTCTTAGACGTGGTATTCTTTATACATTTCGTTATCACGTTTGGACTCAAGGTCATGCAGCAACGAATTATAGTTTATGGAAAAATGCAACTGAACCTTATGAAGTAAGTTAAATAGAATTTACTTAAAAATTATGATCTTCGTTAAATATTATTTTAGGTTTCTTGGGAGCCTGATTTTGAGCCTTACATTATAGTCCCCAAAATTGCACCGAAGTACGATACGCGATTTATTGGATTTGGATGGAACAAAGTTTCTTACATCACTCATCTTACAGCACTCGATTATAAGTAAGATAATTGTCTTTAATTAGAGAATAAATTTAACCATTTTGTTACTTCACGTTTTAACTTTTCAAAACATATACGTTATGTAATTTATAACGTGTTCTACATTTTAAGTATGATAAAGAATACGTAATAGAAATTGACATTTTCTATAGGTTTATTGTTCTTCCGGACTGTTTCATCATTCATCGACCACATGCTCCAAGTCTAGACATTGGAAAATTTAGAACTGATTCAATTTATAGAAGGTGATATATAAATTTAATTATATATTAATTTTTAAAAATAAGATTATATTACGATTTTTCAGATCTCAGATATTTTATAGTATTTCAATAATATTTAAATACTTATCTTTAATAGGTATCATAAATTACGTTGAGACCATGATATTTTATTAAAATGTCCTGGAATTAGAAATACATTTAATAAATAATTATATAGTATGACAGTATTTACTTTTCAGGTGTTTAAAAAAATTAAAAGACAATTTTGTCGACGAACTAATAAGGAAATATGGCACTAATGCGCTCTCGAAACTCAATCGAATTATAACCAAAGATGAAAAAATCGTGGGACCTGCTAATAAATCTCATTGATACGTGTTACATGTAAATGTTTTTTTTTTCAAACGACGTGCGTAGAACGCGAGAAATATTTTTCTTATTCGAGTAAATATACATAATGTATATATATATGTACATTCTATAAGTTAATATAAAATGATTTTCTATTTTTTCCTGGATTATTATTGAAAGGTTAAAAGAGAATGTTTAAAAAAAAAAAATCAATCGTTTTATGGTCGACTTTTATATATAGGGTTGGGAAATATTTATTAAAATTTAATCTATGTAGTGGTGTGTACAGAGCAGTGCCTTCAGTACAATATCGTAATATTACAGTTACACTAAATATTTTATTTATAAAATATGTATAATATATACAGCGCCTTCCTTATATTAACTAAACATTATATTTCACTTAAAAATTATATACCGAACTTTACACAATTCGACGTCGTATTCTCTTACAAAAAAGAACAAGATCTTTTATCAAATGATAATATAGTATAAACATTTGTATAAATAAATGTGAAAAAAAATGACGTAGTAACAATGTAAACGTAAAATCGTTTCAATCATAATGTTAGAGACATCAATGACAACGATGTTGATGATGATGATAATGATGATGGCGATGAATACACAATGACGTATTATATAAAATAATAAAGGTAAGTATTTGTAATAATAGTAATATTACTAAAAAATTGACATAAAAAACATCTCTCGATATTAACAGTCATAAGAATTGGGTACCGAAATTTATCGGTTAAAATCGGTTTTTCCATTTCTTATTATTTTTCTTCTTATATATTTTCTTTCCTAAATTCACGTTTAAATATGGCGTAAAAGTAAATGTCAATATTACATTTCCCTTTAAAGATCCTTATCTACATCGTGAAACGTAAATATTAATCATTTACATTTATATTAATCATTCTGACTTTTTACGCTTTCGATAAAAGCATGTATAAAGTGTTTTTATCCTGTACATTACCGCAACAAGAGACCGTACGAGATACGAAAATATCCTTTAACGAGTAATTACCCATTCGCGCACATGACCTCGTAATAATTAATGTAAATAATATATATAATATATATTTATATATATTATTATTAATCAATTGAGACAAACTCATTTGAATACAACTGATCCATACAAATGAATCAATTCGTATCACTCTTTCGGCATGATGCACTACTAACCTTGTCCGCAACTAACACAACGATTAATTCGGAACACACATTCGTATATTCGACGAGACACTGTTACAACAATTTTTTTTCTACGCCTCGACGCATAAGTAAAATTCTTTATTATTATTATTATTATTTTTTTAATTATTTCTCTTAACATTGGT